GGGGGGGGGTTGCCCTGCCAGGCCCATAGGTGAGGTGGGGGTCCGGCAGCATGGCCCAGGGGCAACACGGGGTGCCCCCAGCCCCAGCAGGACCCAGCCCAGCTGGCTGTCTTGTCAGGCAAGAGCCTTCCCAGAGCCTGGGACAGCACTGGGGGAACTGGTGGGCGAGGGAGCCCCCAGCTCTCTCCCTACTTCCCCCTGAATTGCACCCAGCGAAAGAAGCCGCCTCTGAGTTCATGCATAAAAGATCAATGGAAATGGTTGGTAACCTCCAAATATTGTTAAGCTTAATTAAGCCTTAAGGACCGCGAAGCATCGGCAGGCAGAGCTGCTCGTTAGCACAGTGACTGCAGCCTGAGCTCCTGGTTATGTTGGTTCTTCTAAACCGTGTCCTCGTGGTTGTTGTTACAAGCCCTAAGTGCTTCCCGGGGCCCTCCACAGGACCCTATTTTCTGCCTCCCTGTGGCAGGGAGCCCCTCGAGACCCTCCTTTCGGAGGGCAACATCCTGCTACAGGACCCATTGGCTTCAGCGTGTTCTCCCCCAACACGTATGGGGCATGTGAAGAACGGGTTCCTTTCCGAAGTGACTGTGGTCTCCCCTTCTTGCCCTAAGTGTAGCCAAAACGCTGCCGAGAAGGTGAAGATGCGGTGAGGTGTGTGCATTTCTCAGGCTTGTTCTGCCCCGCTGTTCCCCTTCATCCAGCAACAGCACAGAGGAGACCTCAGTAGATCCATAGAAGTAAAATACCTCTTCGATTCGCGCACTCTTTTGCCATGTATTTAGGGCTGCATTTGCAAGAGTGGGCAGTCCCCCCTGTTAACACCAGCCCTGTTCAACAAAGCTCTACCTCGGCTTAAAAACATCGTGGGGTTAAAGGAGGAGAGTGAGGTTTCTCGTGATAATCTTTAGTGAATTTGGGATGAGTTATGGGGGCTAAATACCGTTACAAAAAATCTGTTGCAGGTGTTGCCTGCTGAAGATGGATCCACCAGCAGAAGGTGCAGTCAGAGGTCTGGAGCTGTGCATAGAGAAGGTATGATGCAATCTAGTAGTTATATGAGTAAAGTCTTGTTTAAAAAAATAATGTATATGGATGGTAATGAAAGGACCATGATAAAGATACCTCCTTAAAGTGTAAAAATCCACCTTTTTTGTGTGATTTTGATAAACTTTCTGGCTGCATTTTGGCCAGAGTTTGAGGGCACAACTCGCTCTTTCAAGCTCATTTTCAGGCACTGCAATCAACAATATCATTGTTCTCGTCCCTATTTAAGTGAACTGCTCATGAATAATGTACTGGCTGCCTGATGAATATGCACGTTGGCTGGTGTGCCTGGGAGGGCTTTATCAATAATTCATGCCCAGAAAATGTTCTTCACCTTGCAACTGTACAGGAACCGTAAAAAAAAAAAATATTTACCCTTTAAAGTGGGAGAGAAGATGGCTTGAAATCTGCCCACGGTAATGTGGAGTGAGGTGTGTTGTACTTAAGTGTGGTGAAAGTAAGTGAAGGGGAGAGCACCTCCAGGAAGGAGAAGGTCGTTTCTGAGGGACTGAGCCCAGATCTTCACAAACCCAACCCTGCAAAGCCCCAGAGCTTGCTGGAACTGCTCAGGGTTAAGCCTGTTCAGCAGCTCCTGGCTTCAGACCCTAATTTATTCTAACAAACGTGCCTTTTTCCACTCTCTTGTTACCATTACACAGAAAACTTCCTTGCAAAAAAAGAGTGGAAATGCTCTGCGACGTGGGGAAGGCAAGGAGAGAGTGTTTACACTCGGTGGAGCCGGGGTCTTCGGAAGGCACCTGCCTTCAAATCCTCGGCGATTGTTTTTATTTGTGTTTTTATCGCTGATTACCTCCTTTAAAGGCTTCTTGGGACTCCAAGAGGAAAAAAAAACTCCAGTAAACGTCAAAAGCTCTGAACAATCGGCTCATGAGTCGTCTTGCGCCGTGCGGCCCTGAAATGGAAACCTGGAAAAGTCGAGGCGGTTTCTGGACGCCTGGCTGCGTGCCAGCAGACTTTGCTTCCCACGCTGGGCGCTTCTGAAAGGCAAAGGGGATGGTCTGCAAAGAGCCTGGCGCGCCATCGGCGCTGCACCGATAACGCGCAAAACAGATAAAAGCGTAAATGGCTGAGTCTGCGTTTTTGGGTGAGCAAAGGGCCCACGCTGAAAGTCCTTGTGTAATACGCAACACGGGGTTACTTAACCCTGATTAGAAGCAGAGCTGGCTGGGATAACACCCGTTTTTTGCTACTTAAAGTAGCAAAAATGAAGTAGCAGGAAAAACTCAGCTGATACCTGTGGCCTTACGAGCAGATACGTGTTTGTGAAACTTTACTCATGTGAGTAATCAGAATTGAGAGGTACTTCGAGGCAGTGAGCACCCTATGGGTGTAGGGCTATAATTAATTACATAAAAATAATGAATAAGCAGTTGTTAATTACTGGATGATATCTTCCACCTAGGGAAAATGCTCTCCTTCCTTCTCCCACCTCTGAAATCGAGGGGTTTCTGTCCTTGGCTTTGCCAGGACCAGATTTCACCCAACGCTACCGAGTGGCCTGAAAAATCCCACGGAAATTTTAGAGCCTGTTTCCAGCTTTAAGAGGAAAAGCGAAGCAGGGGCCAGATCTATTGTAGCACCAACAAACCTGCATTAAACCCCCCTGCAGTCTTTAAAAAGCGCATGCTTAAGCTCAGGTTCAGGGAATTTTCTGAGCAACTGGAGTCGCTTTGCACCATGGGAGCCAAATTAAAGTCCTGGCTCGCTTTTTCCTGCACTTTCAGCCATGTAAGTTCTCGGAACAGCTGGAATAAGCTAGTTTGTGGCATATATGTTCCTTGCAGGGCTGGAAGGCTTTCTGTAGCAAATCAGACGTGCCAGAAACCGCAGGATCAGGTGCAAACCCTCCTCTGACCCGTTGCTGCGTGTGATTAGAGCAGCCAAGTCGGCGAAAGAAGCACGGACAAGAAACCTGCAATATTAATTTGGTCACCTACCAAGAGTTCTTG